CATCGCTGAATATTCACGTAAACGTAGTCGCATGCACCTGTTTCCGCTCATCTAAGCATTCCCTTCTACACGTCGTATTCGTGGACAAGAGCAAATTTACTGTAGAAACTTAAATCTTAAGATATGGAAGTAGCAAGAATTGCTTTCCTTGAATTTTTACCGAACTGTAGCAGGTAAATCTGTCATTTCCATAATTGCGTCCTCTTCATTAAATGTATGGAAAAAGACAAGAAGGTTTTATGGAAATGCGAAAACATTCGAAGAAACGAACATCATGCCAGGTTTCACTCATCCGTGAAAGTATTATTTTTTCATTTGGGGAATATATCCTGCTGCCAACTCGGAATCAGCAAGATTAATGGAGAAGACTGAAGAACCGACCATCATCACCAAAGTTTCAAACTCATGAAATTTTAGTTTTGGCTTTCGTGGGGACCGTCGCAAGGCGCAGCAGGGAAAAAGCCATCAATCCATAGCATGAAGCTAGCAATAACGCGCCATAGTGCGGTCTGCATCGATTTCCCAAATCCGACCAACTTAAGCTTAATTGTTCTTTCACTTCCCTAATAGTACAACCAAACGTGTTTGCTCATTGGAATTTTCCTTATACACGCCAGCGGACTTAGTCTTAATTGCTTAATTTATTTTTTGCTAGCGGCAAATTCAAGCTGTTGGCATAGTTACCAATTTCACTGACGAAACAGACAGTTTCTCACTTGACTTACGATCCATGCAATACAGTAATCAGTTTTATTCTATCGGTATTTGCACCAGTGGCCGGCAAAGTCAAAGAAACTTATATTTGCATATTCAACATCAGTAAACAGTTGGAAACTGATTTCGAGTACGCGGCCATGAAGGAATTTCAAAAAACCTTCCAAACATCCTGCGTTGCTGGTGATTCTTGTTTTGTAGGATGTAACTACATAAGTACTCGTCTTTCATAAATGATACTCAGCGGGTGCTAACTTTGTGTTGAAAGTTGACATGCTTGGTGCACTCTCTTTCGTGCTAGTTCAGATGTACAGCGAGGTTTCGGGATCGTTTCTGAAATAAACGAGTTTGTCTAAAGCACAGGCATTTATTGACTGTTTTGAAAATACATGGATTGGTCATTCAGATCGACATCAGATGAAAAGGCAGTCATGTTTAAGTTTAGAAATTTGGAACTGCCAGAGCACAGTTCTGAAAAATTTTCCATTAAAGAATACTATGGTAGAAGGTTCACATAACCATTTTTGTGGTTGATTGACTGCCACCATCCTTCAGTATAAAAGTTCATGTATAGTCTGTAAAGGGAGCAATATTTTGACGAAGCAGGGAGTGAGCAGTACGTTGTCGGTTGATCACAATCGCCAGCATATAAGAAATGCGGTTTCTGCTTAGCGAATCATCCGAATAGCTGGTTCATATTCTGGTCGTTATTTCGAAGAACCTGACAATGTTAACAGTTACATGTAACTTCTGGATTGCTTATAAGAGCTTCGGCATTGATGTCTCCTTTCAGACTGTCGCTTTGTACATGTGCATACATGTACATTATTTTGTTACAAGCATGACGCAGAATAGTCAGTCAGTTTCGTTCGCCGCTTATCTTCTCGAGTCGAAGAGGGAGCAGTGTCACACAATGTCTCCAAGGTTCCTTTTTTTACCTCACCGTCTGGACTTTGGCAGAGGATGGCCTGAGTCTGGAGCAGAGTTTGTCGAGTGACTTGCCCCAAGTAATTCTTGCCTGCCACATTTTTCGTCCGGTCGGTTGAGCAAAGGTAACTGTTTCGCCTTTCTTTCTTTAAGCATTCGCAGTACTTAACATGTTTTAACCATCGCAGCTGTGACTTTTCAGTCTGGATAAACAACAGCTGTACACCAAGGCTTTCTTGGATTTCAGAACTCCAAATCACGCCGAGACGCGTCAGCCCTGGAATTGGTGTCAGAAAGTCAGTTTCAGCCGTTTCTACTTGAGATTGCATTTTTCATTCATCCCATTACTTAATGCATCCCATATGAGTGTGGGGATGAAAATGATTTCAATTCAGATTGGTTCGTCTTCAGATTCATCTTTACCAGTGCGCATTCAGTATGCCAATCCCTGGATTTCCTAATGCATTGTTTTGGATTCCTTCTGCGGCAAACGTTGGAAGTATTCAGAAGATCGGATGTAACGGAAGAGACGGATGATACACTAATGACAGATTAAGAGCACACGATCGATCTAACGATTATCTCACCATTCTGCCGAAGATCGATGCGCCTCAGCCGCTTCTAGCCACTACACTGTTCAGCAACATACCGTTCTCTGGCACGAAATTTGGCTACATCCCACGGATAATGAGAACATCCTTGACTTGCAAGACTTGGTTTTTTTGCCCCCTTGATCGTCTCGGGAAAGTTAATTCTCGTGCTAGTGGCATAACAACGTGAATCAACTCGAACTAGTGTGTAAATGGAAATGATTTCTTGAATTTTTAACCCTGTACTGTAATGTACAAGGTAATCGGTTATTTTGAACTATAAACTGAAATATTGTACAGGGTTTCAAATTTAACCCTGTAGAATGTTGGACTTAGAGTAACTCTAGAATGACGAAATGTGCCTGCCTTAGTCGCGCGGTCCGGAAATTTAAATGTGTGGGGTCGTAGTATTCTGGATGTGTTGACTGGAATCATCAACGCCTCTGTTAGCAACGTCGATGAGTGGCAATCCTTTTTGGATTGCAGGTCAGCCTACAGTATGTTGCAAAGATCTGACCTGTTCTGACTGTTGGCCAGTATCAATGTGGAGTTTCATAGTGTCAACCTGCTGGATACGTTTTACTCAAGATTCCGACAGTTTGTTCAGATAAGTAAGAAGTAATTTATGGCTTACTTGACGAAGCGAAGGGTCGCACAGAGATCCTGTCCTTCTTATGCACGTTGCGATGTCGCCTATTCGATGCTACGTGCGTGAAGTGCGCTGATGACGCACCGTTAACTTCAGTACAGTTCAGATTGCGTTTCTTCGTCTATTTTAGAAGCGGGGGACTGGATGAGCGAGCAGCGTTTAACGCTTAGTCTAAAAAAATCTGTGGATAGTAATTTCCATCGTGTAAACAGACCCCGTATGGAGCTTGCTTTACCAACTGCACAGTTCCGCAACAGCATGTTTGAAAAAGAAGTCAGCTGCAAAACACATGGTGTTGATTTTGCATGAGACCCTTGGCTGAGAGCAACAGACGAATGTAATGGTTGCTAAAATGCGGCGATCGGTTTCAGTGTCATTCAGACTGAAGATTTTGTGCGTTGATTCAGAAATACTGAAAAATTTTGCCAAAAGCCGTATTCTACCACTTTTCATCTACGCTGCATCTGCCTACTTTTGCACTCTCCAAGGTAAAGCACTGGCCCTTTTGAAACTACTTGGCTAACTCTGTAACTGCGACGCTGGCGCCTTTGGGTGCATCCAAGCCAGATGATTGATGAATATAACTGTTGCTCTGGACAGTTCTATTCTATCCGACCTAGTTCACCTCATCCACTGTACTAATTTTTCCAACTGTGTCTTCCGAAGCAGCCAAGCACACGATCCATGTACGTTCCATCCAGCTGCTCATCTGACGCTTGCAGTCGGTCGCATTCCGTTTACCGTTCGATGTCCTATCGATCCCAAGAAGGAAAAACTGTCATTTCGAACGATAATATGGTCAGCCTGATATGAATCCACGTTCAGTACTGGTTTCGTTGTTTAGTTTTGGTTCACTGCTATATCCGCGGTTTTGACCACATATCGTGTGCTTTATTGTTCATTTCAGTAAACTTATTGACTGACTGATAGATTGCCTTAGTGATACGGTTCTGAGTAGTTCACGCAGAACGCCGCTGGCCATTCCAATTCACTGATTGATTTCTTCCTACATTTTCCATCATCACAAGGTACTACTTGAACTTCTCCACTGCTTCTCCGTTAATTTGTACAGAGAACCTAGCAGGAAAACGAAAAAGCACTAGGTTTTTCGCCTTAGATACGTTCACTCGGCTGCGAGCCTTTCCAGAGAGCACTGTAAATCAGTTTCAGAAGATGTCAACAAAACAAGGTCGTCTCGTCTGCAAACAGCAACTTTCTCGTCTTCACATCTCTTACACCGATGCACTCATTTCCTTGGCTGCTCCTGACTGTTCTATTCATATACAACACAAACAGGAGAGAGGACAGAACATAGCTTTGGCAGAAACCTGTGCCAGCGTTAAGAGGTTTCGACTTAACCACCTTATTCTGACGCAGCACCTTTTAACAACATATCGTGGCTGGATGATTCATGATAGCTAGGATTGTATTTCATATTGATCTTTCTGTTTTGCATTGAGTGCCGCCATATCGGTTCCAAACCGGATGAGGAGAAAGGTTAGAGACCACGGCGAAGTTTCTGCTAAAACTTACCTACTGGTCCCTCCTGTACTGTCGCTATCGAACGATATACCGGTTCAGTCGTTGCCCGCATTAAAAAGTGAGCAGGCTGCGAAAAATCGGCATTCAGAATCTGCTTTATATCTTTTTGGCAGCTAGGTGAGTAGCAGCATGACGACGGCTGCCGAAGATCGACAAGACGACGAGGATATTAGTCAGCAGCGGAGTCGCTACCCGTTCTAAATGGGAGGCACACAGCGCAGTGCCATTATAGCGCGTCAGATATGGCTTAACGCGAACGACACCGAGAGTTAGAGCTCACATTAACAGATTGGAACGTATCCTTACTCATAGGGAAACGGGAGGAACCTGTTGTTGAGGTCACAAGGTACCAGTTGGACATAATTGAACTCTCGTCGTGAAGGTATGTTTCATAAATATGAGTTATAATTTTATTAGGCAGTCGTGGAAATTGGCATTCACCAGCGGTCTGTTTCTCAGTTTCTACTTGTAATGAATCATATGGCGAGTAAATGTCGATAAGGCTTCCACAGGCGATCAGCTGTGCAGCAAACAAGTGTGTAGGAAGAAAGTTTGCACGTGCAAGCTTGTATATACCACCATTAGAAATTTCGTTCTTTAATCTTAACAAAGTGATAGATCGCTGCTTTTGCACAAAGTTTCTTTAGTTATCTACAGAATGGTTTTGTGATATATGAACAGCAGTTTTACTAGAAAATAAATAATGTTCACTAGGTCTCAAAATAAAGTTTGACTCGCTGCTTGACTAATCACGTTCTTACGTGTTAAAAGAACTGTCTCGATAGTATCGCCACTGGTAGTTGGTGAGCTGAACAATTATTGTTTACTACAGTTCTTGCTAGCTGACGTTCAGAAGCCATCCATCTCTGACTCTTCATGTACTGGAGCCCTGAGAGCCACTGACGTTTACCTCTGCGGCTTCAAAGCTACGGCTCCAAAATGCAAGTTTACGCTGCTTCAGGGCGTTCGATGACCTAAGGAACGACATAGCGTTCGTGACCGAAGCTGCGAAGTCCAGACGACGGAGTACCTCGGGTATTCAGCGTCCTTAGAACTTAAAAGTTTTGCGAGATCCCGTGGAGGCAGAACCGTTCTGCAACTTTAGCAGTAAGCATTAGCGGGCGAATAAGCCTTCTGTCACGTTCTGTTGCCGTCTTTTCAGGCCCAAAATGTTCGATGTGCTGTTAAACGCTCTGGAGGTAAAGAAAGACGGATTTTAATTGGTGCACCCGTCTTGGCGCTGATGGATAGTAGTTGTTAATGCGCAGACCTGAGGCCGCGAGTTCGAATTTCTGTGATTGAACTGTGGTTGTCACCTGGATCAGCTGTTACATCCAACCCACCATGTTGCATCTCAGTGACTAGCCGTCCGTGAGCACAATGCGAAATATTTATCAAACTACTGAATTTCTAGGATTTCGCGTTCTGTTTTATGATTCCATTTTCTAACTGCAATAATTTATGAATTCAGCGTGCATCGCGGGATCGTTAGTTTGACTGTATACTGGCAGATGTCTCTGTATCATTTTCGAGTTTTTCATTATTTACTTATTAACGAATATTCGGCAGTAAATATAGTGCTAAAAGTCTATCAGATTAGTGAAATTCGAGAACCAATGTTGCTTTATGACAGAACGATTGCGTCAGTTCATTTATGTTTCTTCACTTCGTTAAGTTCGCACTACGTTCTATACAGTTTCATTGTGCGTAACTCTGTAGCCTTTCAGACTTATTCTGTTCTGTTGCATATCAATGGTGAACTCGCCGAGAGCACATCGCGAATCCGCTGTAGAAATTGATTTATAATATTTCTTTCATTTCATGATTGTATGTATGATTGCGTTACGAAGTGGGAGAACACTTTTTATCATTGTTTCTTTGCAATATGTTGATCTGGAACGAATAATAGCGTTGCCCAGTTGTTGCACAAAATTTAAGTAAGTATATAAATTTAGTTCAAAGTCGAATTTTCATGTAAGAACAACGAGCTGATATATACGTAACTTCATCTGCAGAGCAAAATTTTCTCTGCAGTATATAACATAATTGCGCCTTTCTGTAGTTATGCGTTAAGCCATGGAGGTAAGCAGTAATATAGTTATAATAGTCATTCAATATAGATATCTTTCGTCCGCCTCCCGATACTTCTTCAACTTTAGCGATGTCTGATGACTGGCAGCAAGTTGTAATACGGTGGGTTAGATGTAAAAGTTTATCGACGTGACCGATGTCCAGTCATACAGATTCGCACTCGCGGCTACAGAAGTACGTGCTAACAACTACTATCGATCAGAGCCGAAACGGCTCGTGTCCAAATAACCGCGCATAATCGTGAGAGACGAACTCTGGAGAACGGATCAGAAGAGATCCTTGACAGTAAAGTCAAAGCCTGTTTGAAATCAAAGCAGAACACCTTCAGAGATCGATTGAATTCCTTGTATACCTCTAAGCGTAAGCCTGAATTGGCACGTAGCGTCAAATTTTGAACCTAGTTGCATTATGTAAATGCAAGCATCTGTACATATATACAAACTGTATTTGAATAAACAAACTGAAATGCATATACCGCGATTTAAAAATTAAAACAGTGACATGCCGTTTTCTGCTGGGATGTCCTAAGCGGTCATTTACACAGCCCACGACTGCATAATGTTAGGACCTGTAGCACATCAATATATCCCGCATCTTTTTTTTGGCTACAGCAAAACTGTGCTCGTCTTCAGCAATGTATTAGAAACGAGTTCGTCTTATACGCTAGCACAGACACCATGGTATGTATTTGTTCCCCGGCGTAATTGAATAGCCATATAGCTTTTCAAGAAGTAGATTGTTCTTACTCTGCATTCTTCTTACTTTAATCATTTAATTAGTATGAGTATGCTGGTGAACAGGGCGACAAAACAGACACGGATCGACCAAGTATTCGTCGTAAACCGGTAGTTAAACCGGGCTGCTATGACGATGAAGAAGTTTAGATGGTTTCTCTCTTCAAGTCTGTATAAGCACTTATCGTTTCCTATGTTCATGCCTACTGGCTATTGAACGGAGTGCGACCTTGGATATAAGCGATTACTTCGAAGAATTACAGTCGTGACGAGACTCGACAAAGTCCGAAACACCACAGTTCGCGATACCCTTGGTTGTGAGCCGCTCTTCTACAAGTCGAGTTATGGTAACTACAGTGTTTGATCATGTGATGAGGATCTAGCAGAAGACTCTCGTGCACATTTTCTCGGCAGAGCCACTTGGAAGATGGCTCAAAGACAGTCCCTGTACCAGATGGCTTGATTTTACAAATCTCAATTTTATTTCCTTTAAATTTTGACCATGGATTTCTCCATGCTAACTAGGATCATTTGAAAACATTCTGAAACTGATGCCCCTTCCCAGTCCGAAAGGAATCACAAGTTTTGAAAATAAATCAGTTTTTTTTATTTTTATACTGTCTTTTTCAATGGACTTGTTTTGTGCCGAAACGCTGAAAGTAGTCGTATTCTATCGCAACTCACAAGCTCAGAGTTGTTGAATGCTTTTATCCACTAGCAGTTTAGCGTCTTGCTTCATTGAACGAATTTTTGGATTCCTTAATTCTACTTGCTCTAATGTTTTATAGGTGAAGCGTTCGGATACAGTATTCCAGAAATTCGACCATGCCCTAATTTTGAAGAATGGCTAGATGAACGAAAATTGAATAACTCACTGCATTTCCTTGGAAGTGATGGCTTCGCCTGTCCAGATTTTCTGAGACTTGTCAAAGACTGCTACATTTGTTTTTATGTCTGGCCCGACGGACTGTTATATTCGTAATTTTGCTTTTTTATGCTGCGTCTCACTTTTCCAATAAAATTTTTCAGTTGGAGGTTGCACTACAGAAAGAGGCGTAAATTGGCTGTTGTTAAATTAGTTTCAAGAATTTCTTCAAATACCAGAATGGTTGGAGACTTTCCAGCAGGTATACATCTTCCTTATTCCTGCATGTAACATGTTGGTGGAAGCCTGCCGTGTTTCAGCTCCCACACGAGATGCCAAAGGGCTCTAGT